GTGTGGCTTAAACGACAAGACCTGTTCATCCTACGACACTACGACTACGACTACGAGTACGAGTACCACTACTACTGCTGCTGCTGCTACTACTGCTACTGCTGCTGCTGCTGCTACTACTACTATTACTACTACTTCTGCTACTACGACGACGACGACGACGACGATTTTGGTATGACTGCTGTTGCCAGTTCGGCTGCTGCCACAACTACTGATGCCAGCTAATGCTTGCTTGCGTGCTGACTCGGGTAGTCACTGAAACACTACCTGTTGACCTACGGTAACCGATGTTCCGAGGATTTACGCAGGACCGCCTGCAAACTGAGCATGTTGATTTGTTCTCTCTACTCGTCACAGCCTGAGCATTTTCTGAAGTTGAGCGCCCCTGCAGTGCCAGGGCATCCATCGGGCAGCTGTCGCACTTGGAGCGTGCCATGCGCTTCAAAGGCAAAAGCCTGATTGCCTGAACAATTATCATATAATATACCCCATTGTTCTAATCATTGAGGCCCGTGTATTGCGGAAGTGAAATATCACATCTACACGGCCTTCTGAGCTGTCCTGGACCCACAACCGACTCCTGCCGACCCGTAAACGCCAAGCTAGTTTTTTGTCATGGAGGCGACATAGGGTTTAGAGTGTAGCGTCGCCTGTGCTGAAACAAGATCGACAGCAGGAGCTGCACATTGCCAGTTGGTCTGTTTGTCATGATGAGGGATCCAGGCTTTAATTGTCAAGAGAGCATGCGACATCACGACGAGAATACAACAAAATAGGCTCGATTAGTGCGTTTTGCAGTAACTAACGACAACAGAAATTTGCTTCCACAAGCACACTGACAGATAGATGTCAATGGACAATTTCTACATATATGTATATGTACTATGCATACTAAGATGGGCGGAAACCAATAAGAGCCGAAGCCATGGCGAAAGTCGTCGCGGCCCCGAAGTGTCCCGCTTGCAGCAAAAGCGTCTATGCTGCGGAAGAGGCCCAGACTGAAGGGTTCTTCAGGCTGATGATGTAGGGTCTGGGGGTATGGGATTTGGAGTTTGGAGGTTTCGAGTTTGTGCAGTTGGAGTTTGAGGTTTTGGGTTTTGGGACGGAAAGGTTCAACTTTGATTAGTGGATCCGGTCTGTCAGAGCCCTGCGTCGCTACTGAGCACCGGCTTGGCAGGTCAAAGCCCTCGACCATTCCTGGCACCCGCTCTGCTTCTGTTGCAAAGCCTGCGGTAAATCTTTGCGCGGAGGGAATTACAAGGAGACGGTGCAGGGAACGAGGTCGAACTAGCTGGCATGGGCTTTGGCCGTAGTCTTGCGCAAGAATCCTCTTTGCAGTCTTGCACCACTTCTCAGAAGTTAGCTGTATCTTTTGCCAGGACCACGACGGCAACCCATATTGCGAGGCCGACTACCATAAGCTCTTCGGTCCCAAGGGCATTGGTTTCGGAAGCACGCTTTGCGATACTGGCATTGCCGCAGAGAAGCCAAGCGGAAATGATGAAGAACATGTAGAGCCCGTCTCGATTCGAGATCGTTTGGCTGCCTTCGAAAAGAAGGCGGTGCCTGCAGCTGTAGGACAAGGAGCTGCAAGTTCGGCACGGTTCCAGTCCTCTGCCCCCAAGTGTCCGGCCTGCAGCAAGAGCGTCTATGCAGCGGAGGAAATCAAAAGCTTGGGCCGGTCGTGGCATGTGCTTTGTTTTTGCTGCAAGGCCTGTGGTAAGAGCCTCCGTGGCGGACAGTACAAGGACCACGAGGGGTATCCCTACTGCGATGCAGACTATCGCAAGCTGTTTGGCCCCAAGGGCCTGGGCTTTGGAGCGACTTTGGGGGACACCGGGGTAGCTGCCGAGCTGCCCGGTACCTGCACCTCGGTTTCAGAAACAGGCTACCCCGGTACTTTGAAGGAGAAAGTCTCAGCCTTCGAAGGCCAAGCAGCGCCTGCAAAGGCCGAAGCTGTGCCGTCCGACCTTTCGCCGGCCAAAGCTTCCAAGGTCTTCGTCGCTTCCTCAGCCCCCAAATGCCCGGCTTGCAGCAAGAGCGTCTATGCAGCGGAGGAGATCAAAGGTCTGGGTCAGTCTTGGCATGTGCTTTGCTTTTGCTGCAAGGCCTGTGGTAAGAGCTTGCGTGGCGGACAGTACAAAGACCACGACGGGCAACCATACTGTGAAGCGGACTACAACAAGCTTTTTGGTCCCAAGGGCATTGGCTTTGGTACGACACTTGGGGATACTGGAATTGCCGTCCATGCTGCGACCGAAGCTCTTGCAACGCCACAGCCGGAAGCAGAATGTACAGGTGGTCTGAAGGAGAAGTTGTCTGTGTTCGAGGAGCAAGACAAACCTGCACGGACAGATGCTGTCTCCGAAGCCGAAGATGAGGGCACCGATCACGCGAGCACATCTCTCGCCAGAACCGCCAAATCAGCCCTCCAACCTAGTGCTCCGAAGTGCCCGGCTTGCAACAAGACTGTCTATGCTGCGGAACAGATCAAGGGCTTAGGGAAGACTTGGCACGTGCTTTGCTTTTGCTGCAAAGCCTGTGGGAAGAGTCTTCGAGGTGGCCAGTACAAAGATCACGAAGGTCATCCATACTGTGAAGCAGACTACAGCAAACTTTACGGGCCCAAGGGGATTGGCTTCGGAAGTACTTTGGGGGACACAGGGGTCGTTCGAGCTTGATCGATGCTTTAACGAGCTCTGAGTGTGAAGAGGCTGCAAAGCCCCTCCAGAGACTCAAGATCCATCAGCTGCTGTGCTCCATCACCATCTTTTAATGCACTGCAAGGTGTTTTCAAATGCGATACGTACTGTCTCAACGTGCTACAGGTAGGATAAATGGATGTGCTTCCTGGTCAGTTGTTACGGTGTGCCATCTGGCTTCCACCCTAGCTGACGATATGCGAAGCATTCCATGCTTTTAAAACCAGCGAAGAAGGCATGTGCAAAAAGAGCGAGGGTGTGTTTTGTCACGGTGTGCTTTCGGGGGTGGGTGATAACAAAGCATCGCTCACAGGTGGACTGCCTCAAATTGGGCGTGTGGCGACCCTGATTGAGTGCGTTGGCCCAACCAACAAGCACTAAATTCCTTTTCCCGGTCCTTGTTTAACTTGCCGCATGGGACGACGTGGGACAAGTTGCCTATCAGATACGAGACTTATGGTGTCTTGTGATGGGTGTCTTTCACCACGGCCAATGTCATCTGATTATCTTGAGAACCTGAATTTGATTAGCCTCTACCTTATCGTAGGAATCCGAAGCTGCTTTGAGCTGGCCTCACAAGCCCCCAGCGGCTACAGCGATGCTTTGGACGCTTTGAAGGACATGAACAGAGACACACAGCCCATGCTCCAGTTTGACTTGCCCAGACAACGACCCTGAATCCGGAGCAAGATCAAATCCTTGTGTGCAAGCCGACAGACAAGAATTTCTTCGATATTCATAACACAGCAGGATACTGCATAGTCGAGCATACCTGGCATGCCTCTCAAAAGTGTGAACCTGGATCAGGCAAGGCGGGCGTCAACAGATGGCTGGGCTGGCGACCTTCTGTGCGCGGCAATGCCATGGATCCGTCCGGATGCCCAACAGTGTTGTCAGTACACGCAGGCAACGCAGTCGCGCTGATGTCCATAATCGTATAAGCAGCGATACAAGCGTCATAACCCTATAATGATAGCAGCGGTACGTCACAGTAATGGTGATGCTGCGCGGAACTATTTCAGTGCTTCGGTTCGTGAATGAAGGAAGGGAGTAAACCTCCCACCCTCCGCTGGAACAACAGTCCTATTTGCCCATGATAGGTAAATAAAGGCACTATTCTGAAGGTGCTTTCGTTTGGTCAATCCCGTGAAATTCGTTCAGCAAATCGCAGGACTTGTCATGCATATGCATGTATGTACCAAGATTGTGCTGTCATTGTTTATCCGGGCTTTGCTCACGTGTATGCCTGTCGGGTCATGTGTATGGTCACGCAGTGCTTGGCCGACAGGTTGGCATCTCATCTGCATGTCGTATATATATATATATATATATGTATATTGAAAAAATTGTATGTACGTACATACCAGGTTCACTTGATCAAGCGATCGAGATATCGGCAGATGTTGATCGATGTTGATAGCTTCTCGGTTCTGCCCACCTTCTAATCAGGGGAAGGCAAGACATAAACCCTAAACCCCACGTGCTTTGCTTCGTTGGGAGGAAGGGTTCACCCAAAAACCGCGAGCAGTTTACCTGGAAAATCCCTGCAACGTTCTACCTTAGATACCTGAAGCCGAACCCGGTCGAGTGTAGGGTTTATAGGCCATAGGGACAGTATCCCCCCGCGTGAAATGAGCCCTAAACACGATTGCAGCAAGTGGGCTGAAGGGGATTGCATATGTTGAAGGCCACGACGAGTACAGGGTTTCTCCCGGTGTCGTCGCGGCTGCAGGGTTGAAGATTCAGGGTGGTCGGGTTCATCAGGAACAGGGCTTAAGGTTACGATGAGACGAGGGCATCGACATGAAAGGAAGTGGGAGGAATACATGTCGGCTTTGGGGGTTCAGGGGCTGGCAAAGGCATAAGCATCCCCATGGTGGTGGAACGAGCGCCAAGCATACGAAGAGGCCAGCAGAGGATGCGTGGAGTTTGAAGCAATTCAGGGTATTTTGTCTTGAGTGTCCGCTCGGGGGGTCCGAGTGGTACCGTTGCAAAGTCTATGTAAGTCCACTGAATTCAGCCTTTTTTTGGGCCGTAGACATCCCTAGACATCCCTAGACCTGAAAGCTTTAAGGCCTTCACTCCAAACCCCGAAACCCAAAGCCCCATAGGCCCTAAACCCTAAACATCGTCGATGCGTCTTAGTTCTGCAGCAATCTTAGCGCCTCTTCGCCTTCCCTGGCTCCAGTAGCTACCCCAAAACTAGGCAACAGCCTGAAACCGAAAAACCCAGATATTGCACGGGTTGGAATAGTTAGTCCATACATATATATATATATATATAGAGAGAGAGAGAGAGAGAAAGATGATGGTGTGTATATATATATATAGAGTGATGGTATAATGTACCTCAAAGCTCCGTGCCTACTTCTTGAGCCCCCCATACTACAGCTTCGGTTCAGAAAAGGTCGGCGGTATATGAAGTGAGGTAGAAAGACCGACTTGCTCAGTAACTTCATAAAATAATACGGTCTTGCATCAGCTTGAATCTCCAAAAACTGTGACAGGCCGCCTGTGTCCCCATGGGGCATCCTCCGCACGGGGTACAAGACGCGCTCGCCTCTGAAGCCACTGGGCCTGCGCCTCGGGCACTCCGAGGTCATGGAACCAACTGCAGTCGCGATTCACCCTCAACCCTTGATTGATGGCTGGAAGCAAGTTTGAAACACCATAAACCTCGCTCCAACGAATTTGGTGATTGAGGACGGCGAGTCTTGTTCTTGGGCCGAAACATCTCAGCAAGCCTAAGTGCTTAAGGACGACGTGTGTGGGTGTGTACATAATGCGGCTATCCGGAGGTATTCACGGATACTGCGTAGCAGCATTGGAGGTAGTTCTGATGTGGTTCGGGTTTTCATGAGTTTGGAAGTCATGATATTCGGAGGTTCTGCTAAAGGACAAATAGACCCGACTCATGTTATTTTCTTGGCTAAGCACCCGTTTCTTTCTGACCAGTACTGGGTAGCTACATGCAGCCTTCTTCGAATTCCCACCTAAACCCCCCAACCCCTAAACCCAGAACCCTAAACACAGTAAACCCTAAACCGTCCTAAACCGAAGCCATAAACCATTAGAGGCCTCATCGTGCGGCGGAAGTTGCCTGGAAAGGCATGCTGCGAGGGGCTTGTCGTGGGCATATCTAGAGCCGCCCTTGACGCAGTGTTCACGATTGAAGTCTATTGACATGGGGTCACCCCACCTTCCCGCAGTCACAACCTCTACGATCCGTGAGTATATCTCGCTGACGGGCGTCGTCCATAGCAACTGTCTGCCTAAGCACTTCAAACCCTAGCCTCGGAATCCCATAAACCCTAAACCGCCTAAATCGTCTAATTCGGTTTCACCATACTCAGCCGTAGACATCCCAAGCCTTCATGCACTTCTCAGTCGGCGTGCATCGCTCTTGGAGTCGAGGTTTGCCTTTGTTTTGCAAAGCCGGTTCTCGCGCAGCAACCATGGCCTGAGCTCTTCATCCTGTTTTTGTTTGTGAGTTTTCATATTTTTAGAGGTTTAGTTATTTTTTGAGTAGGGATCGTCCTCCCGCATATTCGGGCCTGTTGGATTTGTGCAGGGTGTTAGGGTTCGAATACGCTTACGGGGGTAGGGAAGGCTTGCACATGTGGACCATACGGTAGTGCATGGCTTTTTCATTGGACATGCCGCTGACAGATGCAGAAGAAGTTCGGCATTGCCAACTGAGTCCGGAAGGTGCCTGCATAAACAAAGAGCTTGGGCAGCATTGTTCATAATGTTGGTAAGCGCAGAAGAAAGAGAACCGGAGATACCAACACGAGGTTCTAGGTGCGTCATTATTTTTCTTTGCATTGTAGTGCTGTTTTCTCATAGGCACACGAGATTGACGTTTTCTTCATGTGCTGTGGCAGAGGAGTGTCTCACCCGTTAGTCCATCTGCCGCAGCGGGATCGCCCCGGAGGATGATGTGCTTTCCGACAGAAACGAGACCTTGCAGGGGTTACAGGTCGTAGACTCATTGAATACATGCATAGAGCGTTCTGCAAAAAAGTAATCCTCTCTCTCGAAAGACTTTCCGCGTGTCCTGGGAATGGCAAGTCTCGCAGAGGCCGAATCTACAACCTTGCAGCCGCAGAATGCGAAGCCTAGCAGCATAACCATTTGATCGATGCGGGGCGTTCACGCAGAGTTATAAGACACCTATGCACAGAAATATACGTACCTGATTATATATATATATACATATGTATATATATATATATATACATGTATATACTTGTGTGTATACATACACATAATTACACACCTACACACCTACACCTACGTCTTTGTGGGCCTTTTGTATTTGTGTGCTCTATTTTGTCCTGTCATACCTCTGCTGGCGATACCGCGAGCAGGAGGTGTGGGTGTTGCTGCATGCTTTTGTATATTGGCCTATGCGTTTTTTGTATGTGTTGCTGTATTTTATCCTTGCATACCTTTGCTAGCGATGAAGTGAGGGTCCTGCAGATATAGTTGTCATGTGTGGAGGCCTCGGAGCAAGTTCTGGTTCAGGATGGTTCAGGGTTTAGGCTTGGTTTTTTTACATGCTTATGTATAGCACAGTGTAGTAACTCATCGTGGCTTAGAACAGCCTCCTCGTATGACACACCCAAAAACCCTGAACCCCAATACCGCGAAGACCCGAGCCCAGAATCCTGAACTCTGAACCTTATCTAAGCCCTGACAGGCACCTCAACTCTGAACAGCTGGGAGCTTCAGCACAAGATGGGAGCCTTCTGCAGAGCCCCATACCACAGCGTGGATCTTCATCGTGTTGCCCTGACTACGCCGAATCCGGTGCCCCTACTTCCACTCTGGATCCCTCCCCCCGCCCCCCCCTCCCGGGCCCACGCTCCGGCACAGCTCCGCGAGGACGGCAAGGAGTGCCGATCCTGCCAATCCTTCGCCCTGACCATCGAGGCCCAGCTCAGGGCTGATGTGGGAGTTTCCGAAACTGCAGGGTACCTTATTTAGGGGTCCTTATAATTAATAAGGATCCTACTATTTAGGGTACTATATTAGGGTCCCCTTTTCGGAAATCTCCATGTGCTTCAGGGCCGGCTGGGGCTCAGGGCTTCGGGTCTTCGAGAGTGAATCTTAGCCTGCCTGGCCTAGAGCAGCGATCCATGACGATGTTGGGGATGATAGCGATGATGGATAGTCCCTCTGTCGCCACATAACTCATATATATATATATATGTATATATATATATATAGCTGCTGCATTCCGGTGGTTGAGCAGGCGAGCTGCGAGATGTCAAATCTACCAGAGCTTCGAGGTAGTTCGGTAGTGCTGATTATTTGGCCTGGCCCATGCAGGACCTGGACTATCCCAACGGCATGGGATCTGGTGAGAACCATGTCCACAACATCTTCTGGCCTGGTCCTCGTCAACCAGACCCGATGGACAGCGGCACCATTGGCTGCCGTAAGTGCCAGACAGCTTAAGTTTCGATCCCCAGCAGCGTCGTTGTTGCTGCTTTGAGTGGAGGAAGGCAGTCTCGAATGGTTTGGATTAGCTTGACTTCTACGACCATTGAAGATAGGGGCGGGGTTGTAACAGTCGAATGCTTAGGGTCGCCAACATCCCTGGCGACTGGATGGCCATCAACCAGACCGCTGTTACTCAGCTCGGTGAGGCGCGAAATTGTCCAGTTTTGGATGAGTGGTGAAGTTTGCACAGTGAACAGCCATGGTGTCTCCAAGGCACCGATGTTCCATGTTCTGTGCCACGTGTTTCGAGCTGTGAACAACTGTCTGGTCCAGTTCGCCCCGACCATGGTGGTGGGAAGGAACAGCCTCGAGCTCAGTTTGGGCAATCAGGGGAGTTACTGTCGAAAGCCAAGGAGCCCCCTGCACCCCAGCCCCAGAACTTCCTGCAAAAACTAGCGGCTGCTGTGGATGAACTTCGGATTTGGGTAGTTCTCTAGTTTTGGATCCCCCAACAGACTACGGCACCCGTTTACAAACACCCTCTGAAAGGGACCCTCATTTCGAGAACTACCCATTGGGATCTGGAAACCTTAGACGCCTTGGAAGCTTCTGTCCTTTATCAGCTCACAGCCCGTGTTCGTCGCGTCAGCGTCTTCAGAGGGCTCTTCTTCTTGGATATCTTGCAGACCGAGGTATCCTAAACTCCTATGTCCTAAGCATCTGCGATCCACCCGAAACTTCACAACCCCTTCTCCCAACAAACCCGCTCCCTCGAACCCGACCGCCCTTGAAACTTCAAGGCACCATATGGGGGTTTCCGAAAATAGGGGACCCTAATATAGTACCCTAAATAGTAGGATCCTTATTATAAGGACCCCAAAATAAGGTACCCCTTATTTTCGGGAACTCCCATATCGAACAAGCCCGGCATGAAGCCCTCAAGCCCCGCACCCAGCAGACAATCGGCTCAAGCGCCCCAAGCCTCGTAACCCGAACCACCAACGGTTGAGAGTTGAGGGTTTAGGGTAATAGTAAAAAGAACCAACGGCCCCCACCCCCCCCTCAGCCCTCAACCCAAGCAAAGCCAACGAAAACTTGAACAGCAGTCCTCAAACAGTAGTCACCCAACAGCCCATAAGAGAAGCCAAGGGACAACACCACCCCTGAAGACCCCCCTAAACCCTAAACCCTAAACCCTAAACCCTCTTCTCTCAAGGCCAGGGTGCTCAGAGCATGGAGGCTCCCTGCCCAAAGCGTGGGATGCATCGGCCGGGATCCAAGCAGCTATTGGGAGGTTCCGAAACTAAGGGGTCCCCTATTTGGGGGTCCTACTATTTAGGATACTATATTTTGGGTCCCATTTTTAGGGTTTAGGGTTTAGGGTTTAGGGTTTTGGGAGTTTCCGAAACGAAGTGAAGGGGTCCCTTACTTGGGGGTCTTTATAATAAGGATCCTACTAATTTAGGGCACTCTACCAGGGTCCCCTATTTTCGGAAACCCCCATTGAAGCTATTGAATTGGATAGGGTAAGGTGTGGGATTGATGGAGGTGGGGTATGCATTAGTGTGGTTGCCAGTAATTGCTACTGAAACTCTTAATACAATCAAAATTACTATGATATCGGTTACTACGGTTGTTATTCTTGCCTGTTGTTTTTATGATGTTGTATTAGTGTTGGTATACTGTTTATTTTGCTATTGTTGTTATTATGATTGCTGTGATAAGTGTGGCTACTACCGTCATAGCTGTTACGTGGATACTGACGATACTTGTTTTCACAATACGATCACTCTCAATCTCGCTATTCTGCTGAAGATGATGTATACATACATACATACATACATACATACATACATACATACATACATACATACATACATACACGCCTACATACATACGTACATAGATACATACATACGTACATATGTACACACATACATATATGCATACATACTCACATACCCATGTATGTGCTCACATACCTAGTTACACGTGTGTATATATATACACACTTATACTTTTATTTCTATTCAATTTCGTACTTATACTTATATTTGTATGAATGTATGTATGCATGCATACGACGGTTGTTAAGGAGTTCATAGGGTTTAGAGTGGTTTTCTTTTCGGGTGCCGAGCACATACAACCAGGCATACGATATGTTTTTTTGTGGATGTATGTTACTTGGACGCATGTTGCTATGCCTGTGTGTTCGCTTCCTGAGTTGCCTCTTTTTGTGGGTTTCACGTTGGTTTGTCTGTCTGTGTAGATGGTAATTGGCAGAGATGTGCTTATGTTAGAGCACTCGACCACCGAATTGCACACTGAGGTACCACGTGGTGATGTGGTCGCTCGACTCGTGCCACTGACCTGTTTCTGATCATCTGTGCGTTGGAAGCATGCGGTCCACAGCACGACATGCATGCATTCATGGGCTATTCACTGCCTGCCTCAAGGGCCTTGATAGCGACCTCAGCCAGGCAGTTGGAGGACATTGACTCCGACATTAGCTACCAGGCTCTGAAGTCCCTCCTGGAGGTCCCTCTCCCCGGGCTTCATGTGGTCTGAGGTCCTTCGCAGGACCAACAAAGGCATCAACTGCATGTTGACGTTGGTACGTGCTTACGGGCATGCGTGGCATTGATGTGGATCATCTTCTGCGAATGCCCTCATGCCACACTTCGATGCATGGCCGGCGCATCGCAGCTTTCCCCAAAACGGGGCAGGCTCAAGTCATGTAGACAGCAGAGTGCCAGCTCATCACAGGATACCCAAAACCCCGCGGCAAATCAGTTAATTGCTTTCGGGGGTATCCCGATGCTCTTCGGAAGCCAGAAGTAGAAGTGAGGAGCACAGCATTTGTAATGCCCCAGCTTCAGACGACTCGTTGCCGATCGTCGCGACGCAAAATGAAGAAGCTTCGTTAGCAGGCCTGGAGGGCTTATGCTACGACACATGCGATCAAGGGCTACAGAATGGACTAAAGGATGGCGTTGATGCGTTGATGACGATTCCCGGGGGAAGAGAAGGGGCAAAGGCGATGTGATGATGATGATCATGACGACGACCACCACCACGATGACCACAACGATGAATATGCCGGTGGTGCAGTGGCAATGACGAGGGTGGTGGTCTAATGCTGACGTTCTGCATCATTGAGAAATGTTGCCAGGTTTGCGAGGCACAATGCCAGCTGAGGAGGCGCACTGAAGTCGATGTCAGAATGTCCTTGCGCATCATCCGTCTGCCACCGATCCCTAAACCCTGACCCTGTACACCCAACCCTGGCACCCAAACCCTGATTCCCAAAGCCGGATTCTTTTAGAACGGCTTGCTTGCAGCACGACGGTCCCTGATGTCTAGGCGAGGCTCACTGCCGAAGCTCTGGCTCAGCTTGAGGCCGTTTCACGCACTCCAGGGATCTTTAGGGTGCAGAGTCTATTATTTGTGGCCTAGTCCGTAGTTGCGGTGTAGAGGGAGGACACAAACGGCTCTGGCTTGAGCATGGTGAGCGCTCTTTGCACATCATAGAGTTGAGTAGTGTTCTTCTAGTCTGGCTTTTGTGGACAAATAGCAGCGCTATGAAATTAGTTGCTTAGTATTCTTACTATAACCTTATCGTTCGTGATAACCTTCTCTTCTCCTGCATCCCGAGCCTCCTAGAGGCCCCTATGACGAACTGCGAACTCCAAGACCCCAAGCTACTCCAGAGCTCTACTTGGAGGTTCATGGGTAGTTATAAGTGGGGTTAGAAGTAGGGTAACTATACTTATAACCCATATTAGGGGACTTGTAACCCAACTTATAACTACCCATGAACCTCCAAGTAAGGAGTCCTGCAGAGTCCTCGAAGATCAACGAAAGCCCTGGCTTCCACCAGTGACGGCTTGCGGTCTACGATTTAGGGTTCAGGGTTTAGGGTTTATAGGGGGAGCCAGTTGTAACCTACCAAAATCGGCTTTTTTGTAGGTTCTTAATACAAACCCTAATATGGAATTAAAAAAAGGACCCTACAAAAAAGTAGGTTTTGTTAGGTTTAGGTAGGATCTAGGATTTACGGCCTGAAGGGTTCAGGACTTGGGGTCGCAAGTCCCGGAGGCGGATGACGGGGATGCGACCGGAGAGCCAAAGGCCGCGCGTTCGTTCAGAGTTTCCGGTTTAGGGTTTAGGGTTTAGGGGTTTAGGGTTTAGGGTTTAGGGGTTTAGGGTTTAGGGTTTAGGGGTTTAGGGTTTAGGGTTTAGGGAGCAGGGTTGCGGGTTTTGGGGGATGGTGATCGTAGTCTTAGTAGTGGCAATCGATTGCAACTATATGACTTGGCAGACAGCAACGCAGCTACTAGTAGTTTTAACAGCGGCTGTTTATTCCGATATTGCTACGCAGAAGCATCGATGGTGTGAGATATGTGACAAGTACGTACAAATCAAAACGAGTTATGCCATCAAGATAATAGCTGCAGCAATTGACTGTCTCTTCGTCTACTATTGCAGTAGCCTATGCACAACAGTTTTGTTGTATTTGGAAGACAGGTTGATATCATGCGGGTCGTGATTTTGAGTGGCATGGTTTCTCCGTATAGGCTTTCGGTTTCGGTTTTGCTGCCGCACGTTCTGCTGCATCGTTGCGATGGTTGCAGGATGCCAAAGAGGGGAAGGCGCCCAAAAAGAAAAAGGAGTCGAAGAGCAAAGAAGAGATGGCCGAAGCTTGGCATCACTTTGGACCCGTCGGATGTGCAAGACGTCATTACCAGCTGAGTTGACCAGTTCAGTTGGATTTCTTATCTTTCCTTGAGACACTAAGGGCAACGAACGAAGCGCTTAGCGTGCGGGTAGGTGTCTGCACAATGCTAGGCTGCTAGGCAAGCACGAGTTGATTACAGTTTGCACCAGCCTTGCCCCCTGTTGTAGTTTGTGGGCCTGGCTTTTGCTGCCGCCCCCACTTTGCGCGTTTTGCACTTGGAGCCCGCGTGTTTTGACACTTCTGAGGAGGCAAAGATGAAGTCCCCAGACGACTCTTAGCTGTGTTTGCCGTTTTTGAGCAGGGCGGCGAGGCTTTGCTCGCAGAGGTGTTTGTAGTAGACCTGTCGATGAGGATGAGTGACAAAGATCCACTGATGGCCTTCAAATAATATTCATGTCAACAAATCATATTAACAATAGTAATAACCGTGACAATAACAACACTAAAAATGCTAGCGACAACAATAAATGTATGCAGACAGATTGAATCGCCCGTGGGCCAGCACAAGCCTGAATGCCCTAAAGGTTCTGCCCTACACTCAGGCCCTACACGCTCACAAGGCTGTCTGCAAAGTGCGTCGAATTGTGTCGGTTGTTGAGTCATGTTGAGTCCCCACGCAACAATTTGAAGTGCCCCTTGTACCCCCAGAAAGGAAATCTTTGGCCCCAGCGATGACGAGGCTCCAGCACAGGGTTATCAAGGCAAAGTCGATTGACAACTTTGCCAGGAAGCTATGCCCCTAAGCCCGAGGCCCGAGATCCCTAATTTTTCGGTTTTCGTCCGAACCCCGTCACAGAATGAAGCACTGTTGGGACCGCTGCAGCGAACAGCTGCTTAATTGAGCATATGTACAGTAGTTCGCCCCAGCATCACCGCAAGACGATCGCAACCTCGTCGAGTAGTGCATAGACCTGTATAATGTTATCCTGCTGGAGTAGCAGAGCTTGTAAGTTCAGGGTTTAGCAAGAAAAACTAGCCATAGGGCAGGAGGTTGAGATTATTTTCGCATCTACTGTCGCGCCGTTTCAGCCGCTGAAGCCACGCCAGCCTCCGAAATGACATGCTCATCTGCCAAAAACCACAACATTCATGCAGTAGCCATGCAAAAAAAGCCTTCCCTGCCGGAGCAGTCAGGCCGATGGCGAGGAAGGTGAAGAGGACGCATGCCTGCAAAGCGGGCCCTCCTGCCAAGATAATATAGGGGCCTGGCGGCCTTAGTAATTTCAATAGGGTTTTGGGGCCCATCGTACAATCAGGAACCCCCAAATCGTCTTGGTAACTATTTAGGCCCCTACGTTGCTCGTTTACCAGCATAATGTGTAGGAATGCAACGACAATTCCCCAAACTGTGTGGGAACGCTACCGGGTCCTTACGTGATCTTCCGAGCTTCCACATGCAAATAAATCGGGCGACCGAACGAACCCCAACTCTTCTGTGCTAACTGGCCTTATCACGGTGCTGGCAGTTCGTACAGTTTAAAGAAGGCTACAGGTGCCACTGTTCCTTGCTACTAGCAGTACTAATGTATTTAATACATTCGTTGTTGTTTCTACGGAGCATCCGACCGCGAGTACCACCACAGTTAATCTTCTCACCAGCTGGTACTGCCACCGCTTGCGATGATTGTTACTGTCAGGAAGCCGCCGAAAATGATGCTGTGGTGGAGGAGTACCGCCGCCTCTCTTGAAAGATGTTCGGCATAGGCGACGTCTGAACCTAAAGGTGTTTAGCAAACCTCAGCACGTCTCGCATCAAGGGAAGCGGTCCAGGAGTACCCGGGGCTCATGGAAGATTGGAGCCGTAGCTCATCGCACGCCACGACGTGACGGAAGAAGGATTCATCAACTCGATCGTGCTCTGTTTAGGGCCTACCGGGAGAGCCTTGGGGATACATGAAGCCGGAGGTTTCAGACAAGTAGCAGTCCTTTCGCGCCATCATGTCATATGATGCCCTAGGGGTGCTTCAAAGTGGCACACAGACGGAGACGGCCACAAGCCGAGCAGCCTGGCCTGCCATGAATGCCAGGTTACCACCTGGAGCTCCGAAAGGCTGCTCCTGGGAAGGGGCCAAGATGATTATGATTATCAATCTTTATATATATATATATAGACTATATTAATATATTGATATGTTAATATATGAATATACGAATATTTTAATATATATATATATACATATAAGCATGTATATACACGCACACACACACAAATACATACACATACAACATGATGGGTGTATTTATACAGATGTGTGTGATGTGTGTTGTATATATATATATATATGTGTGTGTGTGTGTGTGTCTGTGCGCGTATATGCACGTATCTGAATATGCATCTGCATCTGCATCTGTATCTGTATATGTGGGATTATGTGGGTGGTGCATGTATATGTATATGCATATGTGTATGCAAGAATATATGTATACATGTATATAGGCATATATGTGGCATGCATACATACATACATACATACATACATACATATATACATACATACATACATACATACATACATACATGCATACATGCGTACACATGCATACATACATACATACATACATACATTCACACATACATACATACATGCATACATACATACATACATACATACATACATACATACAGACATATGCATACACATACATACGCATACATATACATCGACACACACACAGATACCTACATATATATATATATATATTATACACACGCATATAAATATACATATACACATGCATATGCTAATATACATATAAATATACAGAAGCATACATGGATGTACATATGTATACACACGCCCCAGGTATGAACGAGGCAGGTTCGATTCGCTTAGTGTTCTTGACTTCGGCCTCGCCCTGTGAATGAAAGCCTCTGAGCCACCCGAGACAAGTTCCGAACCGAGCTGCGGCCAATATCCATCGAGCATGTCGCCGATGTCGCCCGAGTGGCTTTCAGCTAGACCAGTCTGCCACATGCAGGCTTCACGGTGAAATGGGACCACGAAGCCGACGCTGGAATGCAACCGCTGGGCCAGTAAAAAAGTTTCACACACGTCAAGCTGCATTTTTTGGGATTGTAGCTGTTGGTCTGCCATCGTGGCCCTTTCCAGTACACGTAGCCCACAGTCAATCAGCCAACACGAGATATCCTCAATAGAGATTTGACATGACTCACGTCCAAGGAAGCATCTCAGAGCCCTCAGGGAACAGTGGAGATCTCAGCTGTTGTCGCTGTCCTGCATTTTCAGTGTTCCTGGGTCCCGCTGAGGAGTCGAAATATGAGGACTTGACCATTTACCAGGCACGGTTTGGATCGAAGCGAGGCTACATGTAGTGGTCTGTGGAAAACGCTGCATTCATTCACGATCATTGACGATACGACCCTGGATGCTTCAGAGCGGTCGGGACAGAAAGCGCATCATCTCGGAGCAGGTTGGCATCATGAACAACGAGGTGGCCATCGTCGTGCGAAGCTTTGCTAGCCATTCCGAGCCTTGCATGTCCAGGTGTGCGGATGAAGGCTGAAGGCTAGCTATTGAACTTCTGACCGAGGTGATACCGGATTTGTGGGGTGCGAGGCTGAGACTTGTCCGGCCTAAGTCATCCTGTAGAACCAAGACACACCAACACACACACACAAACACACACACACACACACACATATATATATATATATATATATCTGTAAAAATGTACACTTGCATATATTTTTAGAGCGTATATTGCTGTGTACTTACATAGAGTATGCAGCTTCAATATGTGTATGTATGTAAGTAAGTATGTATATATATATATATGTACATATATATATGTGTGTGTGTATGTCTGTCTGTCTGTCTGTCTGTCTGTCTGTCTGTCTGTCTGTCTGTCTGTCTGTCTGTCTGTCTGTATGTATGTATGTATGTATGTATGTATGTATGGATGTGTGGATGTATGGATGTATTGATGTATGTATGCATGTATGCGTGTATGAGTTTGCATACTGATGTATGTATGTATTTATGCATGTATGTATGCATGTATGTGTGTATATGCATTTACATATTGATGTATGTATGTATGTATGTATGTATGTATGTATGTATGTATGTATGTATGTATGTATGTAAAACTGTCGGCTGTGTGCAGAGAGTCTGTGCAAAGACGTACACTGCACCTGCCTAAACCTCCGAAGCAGTGAACGAGCACCTGGCAGTCCAAGCCTGACGTGCGCAAGACCATTTTCAGGCGCTCCCAAGACCACGCCCACCAGACTCCAGAAGCTCGCCCCCATGCAGAACATGCATGGCACTGTGAGAGGGACGCGACCCCGGAGGTGGAACCGCAGAGGACAGTGCAGGGAGGCGAGGCCGATAATTGAAAAGTTTCGAAAATTCGAACCTAGGTAGAACGGTTCACACCAACGACCCAGAGCCGAATAGTGAAACTAGTGAAACCACCACGGCACTGCACCACAGCGGGAGCCCCGGAACCACACTGTTTGGCGAAAGCAACTCAGCCAACATTCTACAAGTACTCATAACCCTGGTTTAGCAAGCGTTCGATGTGTTCGAATTTTTATATGATATTATGAAAGCTTGATAAAAGCGTTTGCACTTCAACCTGTGCTGATCTTCGATCATGTCCCGAGGCTGGCGGATGCCTCGCGTCCGTTTGCTCGCAGACTACCTCGCCGGGGCGATCCAGGGATTTGCCGCCTACCCCAGAGAAGCTGCGGATTACTGGGATAATGAGAAATCGTTGCAAGGTTGCAGGGTTTCTGTGCCTGCTGACTTGGTCCTTGCAGAGTCTGGACGGTGTTCGTTCAGTGGCGGCCTGCCATCAACTTTCCTGAGCCTACTGCTTCCCGGTGCATCCTTCCCTCCGCATTGCCTGTGAAACCGATTGCTACCATGGACATGTCGGCTTCTGACTGAGCTCATCATCTAAGCAGCGGGCACCCACCAACTGTTGTCCACGCGTTCAAGCACTACTGGAGGGGGCTAGCTGAGCTGAGGCCGTGGTTCCACGGATGCTGGACGGGCCACAGAGGGAATTGGGGGTATTAAGACCCGGAGGCGGCACGGCACTTTGTCCTGGTCAGGGCTTTTATTGATTTCTGCCGGACTTGAGACTAATGTAGAAGTGCATATTCCGCAAGTAGTCCCGGGTTTTTCTGTCCCTGAAGGATCTCCGAAGACATCAGTCCCTATAACCCCGCACCAGCTGTGAGGAGGTTACCAACTGTGTCTTCAAGCGCTTATCCCGAAACGGACACAACCCTAAACCCTAAACCCAAAACCCTAAACCCTAAACCCTCCACCCTAAACCCGGAACCTTGAAAAAGCAACAGACCTTGGAGCACTGCGGTCAGGACTCCCCACCACTGCAGGAGGGAGAGCAAGACGATGGCATACCCGAGGATCCTCTGGCAAAACCTATGAGGGTGGTTGTCAAAGTTATGGTCCTTTTTGGGGTCCCTAATATAATACGGCACCTACTATTTAGGGTACCCCAAAAGGGACCAAAATTTTGACAACTACCCATGAGGGAATGATGCTAAAGGGTTGCTGTGTGAGCTGCTACCTTTTTTGGGGGGTTATTATCATTATAGTATAGTATCATGGGCCCCAAAACATTATTCTAATTATTGAGGCCACTACATTAAAGAACCTACTGCCCAGGGTGGGTATTGCTGCGTAACGGCGGTAGTCTTGTTGGGCCTTGGTCTTGGTTGTCCTCTTGAGCAGTCCGTCCACGCTCGCTGTCGCAGAGGATTACCCGCTGCTGGAGACCGATCTGGACCGACCAGGGACGAGGGCAGGCAGAAGGTCTGGCCATCCCTTAGGCCCCTTGTGTACAGCATGGAGAATTGAAGTGGTACTTCGAACGGGAGCTTCTGTCCAACTGTGCGTGCCATCCGCATGAGATGTTCATGCAAATTTTGAGCCGACCGCTGTAAGCACAATCTTCGTTCTTGTGCGTCTCTGCCCAGCCTTTCCAGGACACTGGCCTGCCCGCGACCCAGGGATGATCTTTTCATACCGGGGCTGAACACATGTTTGATCTGGCTTTCATTGGCGAAAACCGCTAGAGGAACACAGCCCGAGGCACTGCAACATACCAAGACCCGAGCTTGCCTCCCTGAGCCCTGACTAAACCCGTAACCTCTAACTATATAAGCCTTAAGCCCGAAACCTCTAAGCACTAAACCCTAAACCCTAAAAAGCCGAAACCTCTGAACTCAGACTCTCGGCCTTTCCTGATCGGTTTTGTTGATCTGGACTGCCACAAAAAAGGCTGTAGTCGCCGGGTCTGTGAGTTTTACAGGCATTGTTCTTCGTCTTCTTATTTTTATTATTACTATGAATCATGCTATCTTGTTATTTCTACTATTATGAATAACACTACTTGTATTCTCCTTCTTATTATTAGTAAACTTATCATGACTATTGACTGTTGACTATTGTTATTGTTACATTGAATTTTCTTATACTGTTGCTCAAAGTACTACAAGTTTTAACATGGTTACTCTTGTTGTTCTCATTTTCTGTTATTCTGCTCCAGCCCTTTCTCAGCAGCTCTGCAGCCCGAAGCAGCTTCTCTAGCACTTGAGCTGAGAGCCTGCCCAGGGCGGGTCTCAAAGGCTGGATCATGAAGAATGTCCGAGCCTTGGGGTGGAGTAAGGTATGACCTGTCCGCACTGCGTTGATGAGAACGTGTCACTTGCAATACAGCATGCACAAGATCTCAGGTGCATGGCACAGACTGGAGCAGCACAAAATACTCGGACAGTTTTGTGTTTACGTACCTGTGCCCATTCGTAATCCCATTCCTCGTTTTGGCCTTGACTTTTCCTGCTCTCGTCCATGATCTTGGCCGTCCTTGACTTCACGAACCGGAGATGCTTGCCAGACCTACGAGTTCTACCTGTCCAAGTTCCGACTCGCGGCGAACTATCTGCGGCAAGTCGCAAAAGCAAGCAGGACGGACCATGCATTGCAACTTTGACCTGAATCAGTCTGGGCTCACCGGTAACGGCAGGCACACAAGCTTTGTGGGCAGGCGACAGATTCAAGCTAGACTATTGCGGTGCTTACGTCTTGTCGCCTCGTAGGCCGCGCAAGCTTAAGCAATGAGGGCTATTTACATATACATATATATACACATACA